CCTTTATGTTAGTTATAAAATTCCAGTTTGCATCTGACAATTACATATATGCTTCGTAACAAAAATTATATCGTGACGAATAAAGATCGTATATATTTGCAAGTATCAAATTTGAAGACATTTTCAAGTCTAGTATAAACTATTATACGATCCTAATTAACACACAATAACTATGTAAATTTTATCTTCAACGGATACTATAACGGTAATGAGACAAAAAAAAAAAATCAGAGTAAACTGACGGAGTAAAAACAAAATATTAAACGCGTTATACATTTTAGATGATACGAATCATAAAAGCGATGCTGAAATACGAATTGATTTTATACGCAATTGCAACAATGAATAAAAAACTTGGGACGGCAAAGGTTTCATACTTCCAAAGTAACGTGAGATGTGTATCTTTGATTCTGATGCGATATTTATCTCTCCTATCGTTCAAATTATTATCAGTCAGTAAAATGTCATAAAAACATTTGGTGTAATACTGTTTTTCAAATCTCTCGAACTGCTGCTAATTAGGTTTTTGTGGTTTCGTTTTCATGTCCGCTAAGAACTTTGAGTGTAAATCTCGGATAATGTGTTAATAACGCTGTGTCTGATCTGTCTTGTATTCAATAAGCACTTGAATCGTTTATCCGTTGAATGTGCGTAAAGACCTCTGCGAGGAAACTGCGGTGTGTGCGAGTCGTTTCCTGCACTGGTTTATTCGGTGTCTCGTGAATTACGAATTTTATCGTGGGCTATTATGATATTAGTATTGTAAAGCATTGTGATAGTCAGTAGAAGTCTCCGAGAATTTGTATCTCTATTCTTCCAAGTACTGCCATTGCCAACTATGCTAATTTCTACTTCTAATCATGCTGAGCTAAATTTTTCGCGATATAATTATGAAATACGGCCAAACCGCGTATATATATCTACTAACTGATTTGTAATAATTTATTAACATTGAGTTAGAACATGATAATACGTATTAATATGATTGGTATCGGAGCGACGAATATGTGGAAGATACACTTTGCAGAGAGCTCGTCTCATGTACAAAGTGCGCGGAAATTCGCGTTTGAAGACACAATGAGAAAATTTATGAACGATTAATCGCAAATCGCATGCGTCACTTTTTCATAAATCTTTCCGTTGTAGCGTTTTGTAAAGACAAATTTTCGTACACTGTGTAGTTACTGTTTCGCGAAAATGTAAAATTTTAACTTCAGTAGGATGACAACGAGCGAGCTGTTAAAGATGTCTTCGAATTTTATATGAAACATATGTGCTGTTGTACCGCAAAAACAAGCTTAGTCATGTTTAAATAAGTTATCGAAACTTCAACATAATATGTAAGTTCCTCCTACCCTTAGGTTACCTACAAAAGGGCATGTTATCGATATTGATTATCGTTTATTATGTTATTACGTTTATGTAATCTATAATCAGCATTATTCTTTTGTATTATCTAGCTATTTATTGTCAATTGGCTTAAACAGTCCATGTGATGTATATACACATGTTATCATGGATATGGTTTCAACGTCCATTCTTAATTATGGCATTCGTTTAGCGATTTCCGTTTTATTTTTTTTTTTCTGTACGAAAAATGAAAATTATTATTTAATGTTCGACCGTCTCGATCAGGCGTGAATGTAAAGTGCAATTTTATAGCTACTTTTGCGCGTGCCTCCTTCGCATTATACAAGTAATGTTTAATGATGGATTAAGTGCCCGTATGTGAAAGTCGTCAAAAAGTCGGGTACCAAAGTTTCGTAAGACTTGCAGACAGAATAAGTAATTACGGAATAACAAGTATAATTGTATTACACAAATGCATTCGAGTGACTACGCGTGTTTACACTTTGAAACTGAGGGTAGGTAGTTTGAAATAACCAATTCAACAGTATTATGTCTCATTAAATGTAAACGTTTCTTTTTTTCCGCCAAATTTTTGGTTTTCTCTGCTACGTAACTGCGTCAGGTCGATTGGATTTGTTGCCCACCTTTATAACTTTTGGATACGTACAAATAAGAATTTGATTAAACGAAAATATCGTAGACATAAAACTTGAGAATAAACAAGGAAGATCACATATACTTATATACGTATGTAAAAGATACACGAGGTGGATTATGAATCTAAAGTGCATTGTGCATTTTCGTTTCTTTGATATATTTTAAGTTGCGAGCAATTTTTATGTGCAAACTTGCGCTATTATCGCTGCGTCTGAGATTTGTTTCAATTATTTTGCACGTATTATGTATTTGCTATTTGTAAATCTTAAAACTATCACCGATGCTACACATCTCTATATCGATGAACAAGATTGGTAATTGACTTACTAATTATTATTTGGCGCATCGCCCATTTTTGTATAATAATACAAGATTAAAAAGGATAATATAAAGCGAAAAGAGCTATAAAGGAAGCTAATGTTTATGTGTATATCTGGTACATGCAACTCGTGTCATAATAATTAAGATTCTTATAACGAATGATGCAAAGATTGTTAAAACATTACGAAATGGAAAAAGCAGAGAAAGAAAAAAAAATGTATATAGAAATGATAAGACTTTAAATTACTATCGCACATGATTGTATCTAATTAATAATTATTTAATATATTGCAAATATAAATGGTATAAATCTTGGCGTTTTATTACCTTTTGAATTGCTCCCAATTTAGCAGGAAGATTAAATGAATATTGTTTGCATATGTTATATAGATGACAAAATTATAGTTATCTATGATTTGACGATAAATTTGCTTTTAATTACAAAAAGATTTCATGTGTATAATAATAAATAAAAGAAAAAGTAATATACAAGCATATATGTGCACCCGCGCGCATACATCTGAATTATCGACGTATCTTGTCGGTAATTTATTTTAGTTCCTAAAAGCAGTGCCCAGATGACGCAAAATACGCTCTTCTTTTTTATAAGAGAGTTTGCAATTTGTACTAATTTGTATTCCTTGATCTCACTTGGTTCTAACTTTTCTGAACCACCAAAACACTGCAGTGTTAATCATGTCACATCCTTTAACAACAAATAACGATAGTATGCATAATTCGATAGATGAAAAAAGCATTGATCTGGAAAATTGTAGAAAACTAGTCAAATCCTACATTGATTTGGTAAGTCTCTTGTTAAAATTGCAAATCAAATCAAGTACAAAATCTGTTGTTTTTATTTCCAGCATCTGTACAGTGCAGCTTTATTTTGGGCTGATAAAGTGGTGTCACTAAGTAATGAGGACCCGAAAGATGTATGCACCTTGGCGCAGTGTATGTATCTCATGAAACAATATCATCGTGCTGTACACCTCATAAAGAGATATGGATTGGAAAAGGTAATTTTTAATAGATAGTAATTTCAGTACATGATAATAAATAATTAGCTCTATATTTAATAAATATCAGTTAAACGATGATCTGTTGATTTAGACTAATGTAATGTGTCACTACTTAACTGTGAGGTGTTTATTGGAAGCTAAGGAATATAATGATGCGCTTCAAGTCATTAATGAATCTGAAATATGTACAAATATAACACAAGCAGGTATTACCTTCGCCGATCGCACAGACATTTTTCAGGATGCTCCAAAAAATGTAAGTATATTTATATAGGATTAAAGACATCTTTGAAACATTATTAACTTTTATTATAACTCAAGACAATTATTGTACAATTCTTTTATAGGTTCAGAGTTCAATATTATATGTAAAAGGAAGAGTGTATGAAGCTATGGATAACAGAGCAGTAGCAACAGAATGTTACAAGCAAGCTTTACAGTGTGATGTCTATTCGTATGAAGCGTTTGAAGCTTTAGTGCAAAATCAAATGCTCTCGGCCTCTGAAGGTATATTATATTATATTAATTTTGATGTATTATTTTCTTGGACAAACTGTGCAATAACTATGCTATAATAAGTAGCTGTGTGTATAAATTGTTAATTTAGAACGGGAACTCTTGGAGTCTTTACCATATGAACAATGTACAAAAGGTGAAGCAGAACTTTTAAGACTGCTGTATGATAGCAAATTAAAGAAATATCAAGAACCGAACACAAAGCAATCGTTAATTACGTGTAGTGTAATGGGAATTAGCGTCACTGACAGATTAGCAGACAATTTAGACATGGAAGTCACAAAGGCTGAGAGATTGTATTATAATTGTGACTATCATCAATGTTTCTCACTTACAGAGAAGTAGGTTATATTACAAATCGAATGTTATGCTCGTATTCTGTAACAAAATGTAATCTAAAACACTTTTATAATCCTCAGAATCCTGAAAAAGGATCCATACCATAATTCTTGTCTTCCAGTGCACATTGCCTGTTTAGTCGAGCTTAAGAAAACTAATGGTAAGTTTATATCTTGTCTCAATAAGTAAACAAACTTTCTCTAACAAGACTTTAATTTTTAGCTCTGTTTTATCTGGCGCATAGATTAGTAGATTTATATCCAGAAATGGCCTTGTCATGGTTTGCAGTGGGATGTTATTATTACACTATAGGTATCTTATTACTATTTAAAATATACATTTTTCTCTTAAACAAGATTAAATATTAAAAAATCAAAAAATACTGTAAAGATTTTCAGATGTAGAGATGTAAATAAGGAACAAGAATTAAAGATTATTTTGTAACATTGTTGCGTATTCCAGGTAAAAGTGATCAAGCAAGAAGATATTTAGCAAAGGCCACCGCACTGGATAGATTGTTTGGTCCCGCTTGGTTGGCATATGGACATTCCTTTGCCGTGGAAAATGAACATGATCAAGCAATGGCTGCTTATTTTAAAGCATCTCAACTAATGAAAGGTTGCCATCTTCCGTTTTTATATATTGGATTGGAGTGCGGTTTGACGAATAATCTCAAATTAGCCGACAAATTCTTTCAACAAGCTCAAGGAATAGCACCAAACGACCCGTTTGTGATACACGAAATGGGTGTTATATGTTTTTACAACTTAGAGTAAGTATTGTTTTGGTATTAGCTGCTACAAGTTCATTTAGAAAGCAGAGATTTTGTTTACCCTATTTTTACCCGTGTAAATAATTGAAAAAGTTATTCTTGTTAAACACAGTTACAAAAATGCAGAACGATTATTTAAGGAAGCCATGAAAAGTATTCAAGGCGATCTAAGGAATGTGATTCTTCCCAGCAAATGGGAATCATTATTGAATAATCTGGGACACACTTGTAGAAAAATGAAAAAGTACGACGAAGCATTAGAGTATCATCAACAGGCGCTAGTTTTAGATCCTCTGAATCCATCGACATACTCGTCAATCGGATTTATTCACGCATTAATGGGCAACATCCAGGAGGCAGTGGATGCTTTTCATAGAGCACTTGGTCTTCGAAGAGACGATACATTTACTGCAACTATGTTGGGCTACGTAATGGAGCAGTTGATCGACGAGGCACCGCCGTATTCTGGTACGCATTCGATTGAATCGCAATATTCCTTGCATTTAAAGATCGTGATGCAAGGAATTTTTTTCACATTTGGTACAATGCTTTTCGGAGATAAGAAATCATTAATCAAATGATTTAAATCATGCCCCTTCTGTAACAATTGATTTTTGTACTCTTAAATTTATTTAAGGAAACGGAATTTATCTGCGAATGGAAATTTTTCAGATGCGCCTACGGAAATACCGAAATATAGCAAGTCTCAAGGGAATGAAACTAAACTGGTCGAGGATAACGAAGTTCAATTAACCATGGAAAGTTCGAATACCGTGTGCCCTAGTTCCGATAGTCAAAATATCGACAAATTAAGAACAAATTTGTTCTCTGGAAGCTGGGGAGAGAATTCAAGCAAAGGGGAAAATAGTACACCTAAATTAGAACAGCAAACGCGAGATGTGCTGGTTGTTAATTACTCGACCAGCGACACGTCCGAAGTTGAAATGCTAGATTCATCGACCGCACACATAGAATATAACTAAACTAGCAAATTTAAATAGCGCTTTATTAAGCATATTTATATTCTGTGTGTAATATGCAATTCAGTACAATAGAATAATGATGTAAATAGTGTATATACTTGATTTCCATACTCTAGTTTTTATACATCTTATAAAATTATAATTTTCTGCGACAAGATATTGTATCAACTTACATTATAAACGTGTGCTAGATTGAAAAATAAAGAATGTGTAGATAATTTGAATAATTAATTCTGGAATTAACAAATTGAAAAATCTGATTCTGTTTTTTTCACATTTGCATACATTATTCAACAATTTTTTTTCAGAAACAACGCTTTCTTTTATATATTTAATTTTGATTGAAATAATTTAAAGTTATTTTCTAGATTTTTTATTTTTTTTAATTTTAGACGTCCATAAAAACACAAAAAACATGAAAAAGTAATAAAAATGAAGGTGGCGCGCTTTTACGAGGCACATTCAAAAGCTGCGAATCATGTTCGAAGGAGTTTGCGTGGAGAGAAGGAAAGAGAGCAAAATGGAAAGAAAGAGAAGACAAATACGAAGAAAGAGGGAGAGAGCAGAGATCTTTAAGTTACTTGGGGAGTTACATGTGTGGAAGAATGGGCGTTTCATCGTATCATCGGCGATAGATTAAATGAGGTCGTGACAGTGGCGAACGTGGCGAACGTTTTAGGAATCGTGGCGCGTGTTAAAGTCTCCCACCGCGGCCGGCGACGATCCTTTATTTCCGAGAAACCACCCCTCATCGTCGCTGCTGTCGCCACTGCCGCCGCTGTTTGCCATCATCATTCGCGCGTAACTATTCGCGGTGCGCGCAACGCATGAAGATAGCTGCTTAATCGCGCGTTGTTATTAGTGGCGGACGACATCGAGTCGGCTCTCACTCGCTCGTATCCCTTGTGCGAGAGCGAGCCGTGTTGAGCTGACATCACATCACACGTATCCTCCGAGGCTGCGTTTCCTCGCCACAGGAGAGTCCCGGGCGAATCCTTTTCGCGGACATGCCGACACTGATGCAACCGGTAAGTCTTATCAGCTGTACGCTCTCTCTCTCTCTCTCTCTTCTTCTCTCTCTCTCTCTCTCTCTCTCTCTCTCTCTCGCGAGATTAACGCCCCGTAATTAGATTAACCGTATTTCAGACTAACATCGAGATATAAATTCGCGTATAATAAGTTCCGAGTTCGAAGAAATACGCCTTTCATTATGATTTTGATCAGATTTACTCGCCCGTTATATTGCGTAAATATAAAGATGGAGAATCGACAAAGTCACGACATTCAGAGATGTTAGAGACGAAAATTGATAGCGATTGATGCCGGTTCGGCGTGCCTGGCGAACTTCAATCGCCACTCGTATCCTTCATTTTAATTGGCCTTTTTATCCCTCAGACTGTACACGACTCGAAATGCTCGGTTATTAATTCGACGCGCTACGTCGACGGCATACATATTGCGAAGGAATGTCCTGCGCTGTGCGAACGTAAATAAACACGGCGCGACATGTCGTAGCCGTGATACGTGTATACGAGGACTTTATCCCCGCATACATATCTATAACACGCCCTCTGAAATTCTTTTGAAAAGGTCTGGACGCGAGTTATGCGCGAGAAAGAGTGAGATCAATGCACCGTGCGCGACCACCAAAAATCTGGGTCGATCGATCTCTTATAAGGGTGAGTTAATTACGGAATTTTGTAATAGACACCTGCTCCGAATTACCACATTTCAATTGAACTCAACGCATTCGCGATCATCGGTCAGGTATTTTCAAATCTATTGCATAAGTTACTAAGCGGCACAGTTTTATCTGTGTATTTTCGAACCGCTCTAAATCTATATTCCGGAGAAAAGAAATTGCGCGACACGGAACATTTGTAATGTGAATTAATAATTTTAATTAAAATTATTGATAACAATAAAAAGTGTATATTTAATGCTGAAATTAATAATAATTTGACATATAATCTCTCCATTTTTTAAATATATATAAAATGAATTGCTACTATTGTCATTATTATTATTATTAAATTTGCAATGCAATATCTTCAAGATTGATTGTTTTAATAGAAACGGAAGAGTAATGCGAAAATCGGAAATTATATTTTAAATAAATATCAAAACATTTCGAAACACGGATTAACATATTTCGACTACTGTGCGACTGTAAAAATCGCGAAATAAAAGAATCTCGCGCCCACACTAGCGAAAGGGATTCGCGAGGCTACGTCACTAATGACGTAAACACGATGATGAGATTATCACGTGTACAAGTATCGACGGTTACTCGGCAATTCGACGTTCAAAAGCCGAAATTCTGAGAAAAGCCATGGAATGTGTTTCACGATACCCCCCCATTCCTAAAGAAATTTTTTTCTACGAATTCCACAAACGTGCCACACCGCGGGATTGTGGCGTCCTTCAGGAAGCGCTCTGTTTTCGATTCCATTCGCGTTGCGCAGTCCGTCAGCGTCGTTCATACCATTCGTGTGCCAAGAGCGACGACACATCGCGCGCGAATCGTCTGATTTCGGAGTAAAGCGAGCCACTTCTTCTCCTATTACAATTACGAAGCTCGGAAAATAAGCGGCACCGTGCGACAAACGCTACGTAGCGACAAAGAAGGTACGTGCATAAATCGTGATACCGGACAAAATACCGCAAACGAGTATTTCAATTCGAAAATATAAACTGCGAAATACTGTAATGAATATATCTTAAATGCAAATTTCAGATTTTGTTTGGAAATACGAAGCTGAAATATATATATATAATAAATCTTCAGAACTGGATTTGGATATTAGATTATTTCGTTAATATATGTGTTTTTAGTATTTTATATAATTAACATGTGTCTCGAATTTATCAAAACCAATTAAACTTACAGAACTGATATTACATACTTATATTTTTACAATACACAATAAAGTCAGAATAAAATCAGTTTTTGAACAAATCAATTTGCGCATTCAATTTTTACTATATATAATTAGGTTACACAGTTTTGGAATATTTTTACGTGCAAAATGAGGTCAGAACGAAATCAGTTTTCGGATAAATCAACGCGAATTTAGTTTTTCTTCGCGCATTTAATTTTTTGTTATCTATAATCAGTTTTGCAACCGTTTTAGAAGATATGTAGCATTTATCATTTTCAAGATATTTTTCAATTTGTTTAGCAACGCTTGGCATTTTATTAAAGAAATATCAATTTCAAGTTGAACAAGAGAACAGTTTCCAAAATGTGTTAACTGGTACACACAATCTCACTGTCAGACGTTCTATATGCAAGTAAATAATAAATAAATTGATTTTGCAGTCGGACATCCCCTTGGTGAGTGACGAGAGCGACGAAACGGACGTCGGATTCGATCGAGACACACTGATGCATCATCAGGATTCGTTGCACCATCAGGATGCGACGCAGAACCGAGAGCGTAGCAAGCTGCTGCTACGTAAATTGAGCCAAACCCGCGAGCGGGAGCGTGGCAAGGAACGCGAGCAAGAGCGCGAGAGATTACATCAATTACAGTCGATTAATAATTTGCTGCTTGATTTACCATTGCCGCCTTCGCCGTCACACCTGCCGAGTTATTCGCAGGATGCTTCCTCGTCCTCTCAATCGGACAAGAATGTCAGCATCGACGGTAAGGCGTGTTTTTATTCTCAACTTAAGTCGAACAGCATAAACAAAAATTAATTTCTTTTATTTGATTTTTAAATTCTTAACTTTTTATCACTAAAATTGTAATCCTAGTATAAACTAGGAATTATTTCACAAGTTGTGATTTATTTCACCTCTCTAAAATTTCTTTTTAAATTAATCTTCATTCTTTAGTTGTAAAATGAATTTTGTGTCATCTTTCTTTTACTTTTAATCACGTAATTAAAATATTGATTTTTTTCTTTGTGAGATTGAAGATATTAATTTGTCTCTTGTGCGTGCCAGGTGACAGCGCAATTTCGGATATGTTTGGATTGGGCTTGCCTCGTGGATCGCTGATGGGAAATCAATCGACAATCGGCTCTTCGAACTATCGAAATTATCAATATGGCAATTACCAAACGCAGGGATCTTCCTCACAACAGCAACACGAGGTAAAATAACACGTCCATCTCTTGATATTTATTTAAAACAACGTAACAATATGGGATTTTTTAATGAAACTTAATTCATTATAATGAACGCATTTGAATAATACGTGAATTGAAACTGTACGTATGACAAAAATATCTAACGCGACTTTTATTACGAATAGTAGAGTAGGTGGATCAGTAGGAGTTAATATAGCGATAAGGCTCATTATCATCAAGACAGTGATATAATTATATGATTAAATGGATCAAATTAAGTGGAAATTATATGATTATTCGTTGATTAACGAATTAAAACAAGAATTTTTGTACATTTCGCAAATTTAGAAAATATTGTATTTTATATATTTATTAATATTTCGTAAAAGATTATAACATTACTTATTTTTAACTATTGAAAGAGATTATTTCTGATTACATATAAATAAAATATAACAAAAATAAATACCAAATATGTAAATAAAATAAAAACATATGAAACAAGTGCAAGAAAAATTGGATAAAAAGCGTGACTGCGATAAGAACTTTACTGATATTTGCGAGTTGCAAATATTACATACAAAGCGGCGATAAAGATGATAGATGTAACATAAAGCATATTGCTAGAGACATTTACTCGACGATGTAATAACGCGAACAATGATCATTTCCGTTGGAACAACTCCCATAACTCGCTTTATTTATTTTTCGAATTCTAGCATTGATTTTTAACGGAAATTTCAATTTATCCGCTCGTGATTATTCTCGCGCATAAAATATCCGAGTGTCTTAAATATCGAAGATGAAAATTTCTGATAAATCCAATGAAGTACTCATTGTTACGCTTAACGCGTAAGTATAATGACCCCAGGCAAAATAAATGGCGATCTCGATAGCTGAAAATCCGCTAGTCCGAGCCAAACGGCTCTATTAGGATACACGTTACTTTTCCTCCCCTCAATCTGAGCCGACGTAAAGTTGCTGCCATTTCAAAAGATAGCCGCGTTCTCTCGCATTCCGGTTATCGCGTAATATTATGTTTCAATTTGGACGTATCCCAAGTACTTTAAAACACATGTGTGCAAGGAGAATTACTCACATCTGTTTACTGCTTTGCAAAGTCCGTTGCCTTATTTGACAAGAGTAATAAATCGCAGTTTTGATGATTACATTTTGATTACACGAGTGCGGCTGAATGTCGCTTTGCACTATTTGTTATCGTTACAAATGAGCCTAGTGAATTAATCCGGCGTTCTAATTTCCGAGATATCAATCTTATCGCGATTAACGTCAGTCGCGAACATTTCTTTATAATATGTATACGTATGGGATGAATGTAGAATTTATTTTTAACGGCAGCCTTTTGATGAATTATCTTGTTTTGATTACACGAGCTACTTTATTACCGTATTGTGTAATTGCATTTAATTATGCCTGCAGTGTCATCGTAATCACGGCTTCTGCTCGAATTCCTCGGGCCTGGATATTCCGAGCTCGCCGAATTCAGTGACGACTCCTGGCAGTCCCAGCACCCCCGGCAGCTTCACGTCAGATCTTTACAGCTACTCGTCCGCTGCTAGTAACAGTACAAACACGCCATCTTCACCGACTAGCCGACCGTCGTTCCAATATCCCGGTTCTTCGTCATCGCCTAGCGATTCGTACTTTGGCCGTCCCATACGAGGCTGCTCTACACCATACAGGTAATCAAGGAATCCCAGAAATTAACAGTTTGATTTATTATCATTAGAGAAAAATTAAAATCATGAGATTTTAATTTTTAATGCCGAAAATCATTGTATCATGTACGAGAATCATCATATCATAATTTGAACCTGAATTTTGAGGACTTAAAGATAAAGAATTGTAAAAGTGCACTTTTAAATGTGTCGAATCTCAACAGACAATTATTGAATTCTCATACATTTTTTTTTTTATATTCTAAATAATTTATTCATACTAGTGATTGCGGCAGCCCAACATTAGAATTCTCTCATCTTCTGGGATGTAACGGCTCGCGTTCCAACTCGCCGGCAGACTCGGAGACAAGCGGTATTGGCAGCGCGGATGGTTCTTTATCCGACATAATAATGGTGAGTATTTTTTTCACGAGTTTTTTTCCCCCTGAATTATTAACGTCGTTTTCTAAGCATTACTTAACACATATATTTTGTTTGCAGAATTGTTTATCGCTGAATTCCTCATCAAATTCTTGCTTCCCGCCATCTTTGGACTCCATAATATCGAAGACCAACACATGCTCAAGTAATAGAACGGCGTTTGAGCGTATGGCTGTGAAAAAATACTTGTCATCGTTGCAGCAGAACCCGACGAACTCGCATTATTACCAGCATCATCATGGGCTCGGACAAAATCGCAGCAATTTTCTCAATTCTCTCTTGAATCACGAGAAAAATTGCTGTACTGGTCTTGGAAGTGCCGCACGCAGATTAGCTCAGCCAGTATCTCTCGATCGGGTGGCGAGGTCTCATCGAAATGCTGCTGGTGCGTAATATTTATTTACACGAGAAATCGTTGATTGTTGTTAGCTTAAATAAAAGCTCGAGTATTCCAGAATTTCAAGTGGTCTTATACAAAATTTTTATAATCAATGTTAAATATTATAAAATTAGAAAGAGAATTTGTGGTGGCAAATTTTTTTTGATAAGAAATCGATTTTGACAAGATGTAATTTTTTCATTTTAGCACATTGCTATCCAACGTGCACATGGAGCGGGTTTCTGCCGCAAAGTGCTGAAGAGCCAGTCGCTTATTCGCCCAAGGTATTTCTGGGCGGTGTACCGTGGGACGTTACGGAAGCTATCTTGATTTCAACGTTCAAGCAATTCGGACCGGTACGCGTGGAGTGGCCCGCAAAGGCACCGTCCGCTCAGCCAAAAGGTTACGCGTACATCATTTTTGAATCAGAGAAACAGGTATGTGCATGTTGACATCTGATTAATTATTGACTCGATATATATTTTTATTAGAAGACAAATTAATCTAAGATAGATTGTATAAATAATTAATATCTTTCAGGTGAGAGCAATGTTGTCTTGCTGCACCCACGATATCACTAATGGAAAGAGATGGTATTATAAAATTATATCCAAGCGTTCCAAGCCAAAAGATGTACGTTTGACTCGTTGAACTGTTCGCATATTTGACAAGATGTTCTTACAAAAGTGGATTCTTAGAATTATTTTATTATTTCAGGTACAAGTGATTCCATGGATTCTCGAGAATAGTAACTACGTCAAATCTTCGTCGCAAAGACTCGACGCGCACAAAACAGTATTTGTTGGCGCGCTACACGGAATGCTAACGGCCGCAGGATTAGCGAAAGTCATGGACGATCTTTTCCATGGAGTTATTTATGCGGGTAATTGTCATTATTAAATCTCATTATTTTACTATTTAAGAATATAACTTGACATTATACTTTAAATATAATCCTAAAAATTAATAAAAATCATACGTTATTTTAGGCATTGACACGGATAAATATAAATATCCAATAGGATCCGGCCGTGTTACATTTAGTACAAAGCAATCGTACTTCAAAGCGATCACTGCTTCATTCATAGAAATTAAGACTGACAAATTTACGAAGAAGGTATATTGAATTCTAAAATTGTGTACAGTAGAAATTTATATTTCATTCAAATCTGTGGAGTTGACGTATTTTCGTATTTGCATTTTGCAGGTACAAGTGGATCCGTACATCGAAGAATCGATATGTTCCGTATGCGTGGTGCAGCAAGGACATTACTTCTGTCGCGATGTGGTACGTGACAATAATTTAATTGCTACTCAATTCGATTCTATTCAAAACTTTAATTTCTTGCCTTCTCTCGCAAGATTCTTCGTGTCTGCGATAATTTGTGACCGCAACTCTTTCTACGTGTGTTTATTTGAACTTGCGTACTTTCAGGCATGCTTCCGATACTTCTGCCGCAGCTGCTGGCAGTGGCAGCACTCTGTGGATTCGATGTCGCATCACACCCCTCTGACGCGGAACTCAAAGACTAATCAAGTGATAGGATTGAATCCGAATTTCGGAATAAACAACTGTCCCCGTATGTCAAATACGACAGTGATCTAAAGGAAGCGACGTTTCAAAAAAAGGGTGTCCTGTTTTCACGCGGCCACAGTTCAGTATACTCGCTTTTTGTTCACGCGCCCGTCGTCTTCCCTCTCTTTTTTTTTTTTTTTTTGTTCCTTTTTGACTATTTCGGCTAACCGACGTTGCGCCGCCCGATTTAGAACATTGGGTAACAGGGCGCAGACTTAGTTTTTATCGCGGAGCCGCGGACGCAGCCAGTCCGACGATACGGGGACACGCCGATTCACACCGCCGATTGAGCTTGCGAACGCGCAACGATTGGTTCATTATCGTTACCGCGCGTGCGAATAGACAAGATGAATATTAAAAAAAAAAATAACATGTTTATCAAAAAGTTCCTAATTGCGAACGCAGTTTTTACTACGTTCGAGCAAAGTATACTTTTATTTAGTATGTTCACTTAGAGAGACAGGTTCTCTTATCAACTTTTTTTTTACCGTGAAATAATACTATCGTGCCAACAGTAGATTCTAGATTGCGGCCGTGATATGGTGCATTAGAAATATGTGTATACATGTACACGCGTGTATACGTGTATCCACACGTGTACACACACACCCACCCACCCACACACACACAGACACATACACACACACTCACACATACACTCACATACAGGGACATACAGACACATGTGTATACACATCTTTTTCGTTAATGTCGTGAGAGTTGAATTGTGGCTTTCACAGTGACAATAATTTTTTACGCGATAAGGCTCCGTTATGGTAATTTTGAGCTGGGCTCAATAAAACACGTTAGAATTCTCAGGAAATCTATAATAGCGTCATCATATGTTTATTAAAGTATTAAAGTATTTCATTATGAATTGTTACGATGCTAGAAAGATCATTCTAGAGTGGCGAAAGTAATTATGCGATAATTATTTGTCATTATTACATTGTGCGCGCGTGATATATATATCCGATACTAATGTGATATAACGGGAGACTTTCTGGATGTATTGTATAACTCGCTGGTCGTTCTTCCATTACGATACTTGTCAATGACGTTAAACATTGTTAATTTTTACGTTAGATTACAATGTATCTGAACATTCGATTGCGGTGTAACTACGTGAGCATCACGTTATTGGCCGCAATCGGTTGGATTTTTCTATTAATAGCCGAAGCGAGCGGCTGTCACATGTATTTCGCTCACATGGACTGTTTAACGGTTGACGAAATGGAGAAGTACATGGTCTACGATTCTGGCGCGGATTGTAGGGAATTGATTCGTTTTTATTTTTTTTCTTTTTTTTTCTTATTATTGTATAATTGTGTTGCACCACTTCTTTGAATAAGATTCATCCTTTACTCGCGTTTCTCCCGTTTTGATACAATTTTGTTGAATTAAAAACCATATTTTTGCAGATATCTTACGCCTGTTTTTATTTTTTCATTCCATTTTACTTTCAACTTATCAATCTTATCGATGATGAATGTTGTTTAGATAATATTGAATGTTCTTGAATTATAACAAAAAATGGATTTTCGCATCTGTATCATTTACACCAAAGTATGATTCTATTTATTATAATAATTAAAATTGAACCATGATTGATTTAGAAAGAAACCAACATGAATAAAAAAATATTTTTGCTATGCATTATATTTTTGTTTTAATCCTTTTAACATCAAACAAAAAATGTACTGTCAAAAAAGTTGAAGCAATCTTTTACCTCTTTTCAATTTTTGTTCATTGATTTCTTTACTTTTGCCTTAAAAATGTTAGAACAGTGTTGACCTACTTTATATTTCAATTTTAATTTTACGTACGTATATACGTTTATTTTAACAATGAACTAAGTTAAGAAAAACTCGAAACATTCAGTTTATCTGCAGCAAAAATGTATTATACGAAAATGCATTGCTAAAAGTCCAAGACTTATCCACCCAAGTGATAACAATGAATTTGCATGCAGCAGTTAGATGTAAAACTAATATTCTCGAAGAAATATATTTGAACAATACGATACAATATATTATATATCCCGTTAAATATATTATATGTATATGATCAACAGATGACGATAACGTGGTTGCTACATATATAAGCAATTATTAAGAAAAAGTGCTTTAAAATATATATACATCGATAAAAGTTTATACATACTCGATCGAAGCGCTTCGAATATATTTCAATGATATTTAATCCGTAAATCGCTCTATGCAACAGCAGTATTTTCACTTTCAATGGAAAACATTTTATCGGAGACAAATTTTAACGACTTCTTCATTCATAGCGTATTCTTTAAAAAGATTTCAATAAGTCGTGCCTTTTACTCGTAATCCTCATAGATTTCTTCAAATCTAAATTATTTTTTAAGCTATATAAATCCGAATCTTTGTGTAAGTCACAATTATCCGTGTCATCTATGCCAATATAAGTTTTTCAAGTTTCATACTTGCTAATTAACTGATTGATTCTGCTAGAAAAATTGGAAGTGTCGAGAGACATGTAAGTGCGACGCACATGCATTTGCTTGGATTCTACTGGAATCAATTATTTAATCGAATATAAAATTTCCAAAACTTATACAAGTGCAGACGTGCTATCAATTATTAGCCACGTTAAAAAATCCTGGGCCTTATAGGATAATCATGAGACTGGGTTAAGTATTACTATGTTTTTAACAATATAATTGATAGCCGTTATATTTCTTAATGATTTTATAACATATTTATAAATAGATAGCTATCACTGTTCTTCCTCCTTCGATATTGCAACAATTATGTAAAAAATATTCTAGTATTATAATAATTTCTTAGAATTATTCTGACGATTCTATCTTAACGTGAGATAACTATTAAAAGTATTATTATTAAAAGAGAAGACTGTTATCAGTGCGCATAATTTTAAGCTTTTAAAGAAATTGGGTCAAAGTGCACCGTCGACTGATGAGAATTGAATATATAGTTTATTTAAATAAATACTTATATTTTAAATATAATAAGTATTTCTTTTAAATAAACTAAAATCGAGTAATAGCAATCGATATAACCTGGCTTTAATGTATTGTAAACCACGTTATAATAATAGATTACTGTGAATTCAAAATACATAATTTTATGTTCAGACGAGAAGTGCCTCCCCTATCTTTTAGCTTTTATTGTTAACGTTTAAGAATTCATTCGTAACAATATGATAATACTTGTTGACACACAACGTATAAAAAGTTTTACGACACTCTACCATCTGTGTAATCTGATAATTAAAAATTTGAAATCGTTAATAAATTAACGAGAAGCTTCAAAATATAAACTACTTACATCTAATTGAGATTCTACTCATTGCTCACTTAATCCTAGATATTATCATATAATATGCCAGTTTTTATGTAATTCAATTTTATTAATACACAATATGTACAATATACCCATCCACTTTTCATATAACCATAAAACCTTTTCATTTATTATAATGAATTATATTCGTTATTAGACGTTTTTAATTTTTGATTCACTTGCTTAAAGCTTGATTTTATTAATACACAATATGTACAATATACCCATCCACTTTTTATATAACCATAAAACCTTTTCATTTATTATAAGATAATGAATTATATCCGTTATTTGACGTTTTTAATTTTTGACTCACTTGCTTAAAGCTTGATAAAGTCCAATTAACGATGATATTGTTCCAAGTGCTCCAACATGCCATGTTTTTAAACAGCCTCCCCAAAGTGTGCCCGGTGGCAAGTAACTGATTGCATAAGAAATGTCCAGCGTAAAGCGTGTGCACGCCAATAATGCACTTTGCTGTCGCTTGTTGATCTCTTGCAATGTAATTCTTTATTTGACAAAAAGAATAAATCTTATTAGTTTAGTCTAATTTGTTTCTGGAAATAATATTACCAAGGCTGAACTCTATAAAATTCATAATATCAAAAACAATAATCACTTACTGTGCATTAGGATGACTTTGTTTTAGTCTCATTTTGTGTTTTTGAAGCTTTTGGAGTAATCTCAATGATCTGAAATAATGAATACTCTATTAATGAAAAAATATTTCAAAATATATTATTTTGACAGATAGACAGCCAAAATATATTACCTCAGCAAGGATAGATGTAAAGAAAATATCCAAAACCAAGTTGTAGCAACGTCCCATTTATTATTATTAATTGATACTATATTATGCTGCCCAGCCCAACAAATATGCTCTACTGGAGAATAGATGACGTCTATCATATTTTGTATCACTTGGCTCCATCTAATCAACCAGTCAGGTTCCTATTATTAGATTATATATGAAATTTAAATGGCTCTAAAAAAATAAGGTAACATAATTCTATTACATATAATTTTTCAAGTAATTAGTTAAAAGTTGCAATAACATTCAGCTTATTTTGGTTCTTTTAACCAAGTTTAACTTTTTATTTGCGTTCAGAAGTGAATAAAGATACCTTCTTTCCCCATCCATATGTCATAACATAGTTAAGCGTCGGAAGATCATCTAATAAACGTAACATTACTCTACATTCACTCATTTTACTTCCAAAGGTCTTGAGCTTTTTTCTCAGTACTTTCGGATGAAGTGCATGCAGTAAGCAATTTTGCCACATAAGAGAGAGTTCTTAGCATTTTGTCTCTGCCAGAATATGTCTCCAAGTAATCGCTTACAAGTGGAAGATCCATTTCTGCTCAATATATATATATATTTACAAATGGAAGAACAAAGGCACTTGATAATTTTCAACGTCAACTATTCAATTTGCTGTAACAGAAGCTGTGTAAGATACAATAAATATTTTATTTAAAGTGATTGTTTGCTTATAGATAGTTCTACATACCTAAAATTTGATTATTTTTCTTTGATTTCCTTTAAAAAATGAGCGCAACGTTATCTTCTTATCTCTCGTTATGAAATTTACAACAATAGAACAATAGGCTCATATATACATACATCATCATAATACATTAATCGTAAAGTTGATTTATCCACGTGTTTCTTCGATGTCAGGTTAGAAAAAATGTCAGTAATTTGCATAAATATCTACATCGTCATTGGTCATTGTGCGTTCAGTTTCCGATTACACCATATAAAGAAATAATTTATTAACAGAATGATTTTCATATATTCTTATCATAATAGACTTCTGTAGCTGTTTAATTTTGTACCAATAAATAGGATACTCCAATGGCAGTGAGCGCTCGCACAACTGTTGTGTCGGCTAAATGCGCCCATTGATATACAATAGTCACGTCCATTGATTTTTCAACGGCCAGAAAACGCCTAATCGCGTCCTCGAAAAAATTGGACGCGATTAGGCGTCTCTGATTGTTGAAAAATCGGAGAATGCCTTATCGCGTCTTCGAAAAAATTGAACGTCATTAGGTGTCTTTTCTAGTCATTGAGAAAATTGAGGAATGTCTAACAGTGTCCTCCAATTTTTTTCGAGGACGTGACTCTAGCCATTAAAAAAATTGAATTGAATTGAATTAACGTTGACCTGTGCTACTAAGAACAATATATAGATACAACTTCTAATTTAATTAATTAATCAGTGTTAACTAGTGCTATTGAAAACAATGCGTATATCTTCTGATTTAATTAATTAATTAAGTAAATTTAGCTTCTAAATTTAAATATTTGAATTAGCAACTTACCTCACTGCAGGAATAATCCATAAATTTAATATTAAATTTAATATAAACAGATTTATTAGATTAACAAGAAAGTTTCTTCAAATTATTCGATCAAAATGTAATATAAGAATATATAGAAACTTAAAATTTATTTAAATAAAAGTTTGCATGCAAGAAACTTTATATTTATCATTATAAATTATCACCAAACTATTCAACATAATCTTACTTAGATTAAAGATAAGAAAAAGAAAACGCGCGCAAACATAAATGAAAAACAGGAAGCATTTTTAACAAACTCATTTATTAAAGTACTAAAAGGGGTGGAAATGAACAAATTCGAAAAATTGCACATAAATATCAAGTAGATAAGAGAGTAAAATAGTTATAGTACGAACTATTGCGCGCGATCGCGCCGTTTGGTTTGCCGACTTCGCATTCTATGCAGCACTATATATATAAATATACATATATAAATATCTAAATATATTTATATATTTATATTTCACTATTCTTACAGTAGCGTTTGTCGAGGAATCGAGGATAGGAAATATTCAAGTGGCTCGGAGCAACAATGAATTCATTCTGACACAATCAATGAAGAAATAAAAACTGTAATTTGCACGGTCCATTTTAATCCGTGTCTACAACAGACTTGACGGATTGCGAGTTCATTCCATTCTTGCTCCGAGCTCTTCGCTAACAAGGACTTCCCGCGGCATTAAGACCGCAGAATGAAAGCAAGAGGATTCCGTATCCATGAAAGAATTGATCTATTTTATAGCATTTCATTTCGAGAAAAAAAGAAAAGGTGACTCTTATAATTATAACAAACACGTCGTCAAATACGAAGTAGATTTTTTTTTCACACATTCGACTTTTCGCGGCGTCTGCCTGTAAGAGACGCGGCCATTAAATCCTCCCCGTCTCTACCGTTCCCCCTTTCCTTTTTGTTTTATCGTCGTTTTGAACATCATTTAGTCGATTTTTTTTTTTACGATACTACCTCTTGCACCCTTTTCCTCTTTCTCTCCTTCTCTCTTCTTTCAGTCGCTATCATTCTTTTTTTCCTTCCCCCTTGTTCATCCCTCTCTTTCTCTCTCTCACTCTCTCTCTCTCTCTCTCTCTCTCTCTCTCTCTCTCCCTCTTTCCTACGATATATATATTTATGTATATATATGTACCTTTAGCGGGTTTGTTGCGAAGAAATTTTATCGCCCGCACGCGCGCGCGTGTTTTATCTCTTTTAATACAAAACATAAAAATCATCATCGTCATCGTCGTCGTCGCACAGATCCAGAGAAAAAGTAACGCTACGTCGTTAGGATCTCAACGAATTCTTCTCCCCTGGTAAAACACAGCACGGACAGACAGGCAAACCGACAGACAGACAAGGAGACAGATTAAGACAAGATTATACACAGACAAACGGTGGACTACATTGTCGACAGTCGCGGCTTTCTCTTATTTTTCTTTTTTTTTATCCCTCCTCCTCCTTTCGCTTCCACTACTTTCACAAAATTTCGCGCATGCACGCTATATGCTCTCCCGCGTACTTTTTTCCGTTATCCGTTTTGCATCATTTTTTCTTCCTTGTGCTCTCTCTCTTTCTCTTATTTTTTTAACCTCATTCTCTCTCTTTCATACTCACAAGCACACGATCGCGTGCATACGTTTCGCACACAACTCGCGTAAACATACGCACACTTGCACTAAAATTTCTTTTTTTGTATTTTTTTCAGTGTTTTTTTTCGTCGTCGATGTAGCTCCTTTTCTCCGTTTTGAACACTTTTTTGGGGAGATGGGTGCCAGACTCTGCCATTTTCTTTCTTTCCGCTAACGATTATTATACAAAATAATTAGAAAAATGTACAAAAATTCATAAAAATAGTAATAGTTACATAGTACAAGTTATTTTTGGGTAATTATAATAGTGTGTGGGTATTGTGTGTGTGTGTGTGCGTGCGTGTGTGTTATGTGTAAGTGTACGTGTATATATGTGTGATCGAGAAACGAGCATGATAGTACGATCCTACTGATAATTGTTCCAACGAGACGGGTCGAAACGCGCCGCCACGAACGGCTTCCCGAAGGATCCTTTCTCCCTGCGGGAAAACGTCCTGGCGGGATACCGCGCGCGACGATAATTAATAAATATTAATATCGTTGCCTACGTACGCATATACGTGCACCGAATGCCCCATGTTTTCCGGATTATTCAGTTAACAATAGGTGTCTCAGCGAAAAGAGAAATCAGATTTGCAACATCGAGATAATTATTTTGAGATTTCCAACATCGAGAATAATATCTAATCAGTCTATATTTGCATCAATATAGGACTGCTCATACACATTCAACAAATTGAGTCAACAGATTTATGCTGATATAAAAGTTACAACAATTTTCCTCTTAATAAAGCTAAGAATAATTTTTAAAAACACTTATAGCCTCAATATTTCGAGATTTTAAGATAAATGTATTTTTTGAAGAAAAAAAAGAGAGTGACTATTGTTAATAAAACAATCTTGTAATAATGGCCCATCTTGTGCACGCATTTTGACAACAATCCTCTCTCTCGTTCATCTACTATTTCCTTTCTGTATTTCTCGCTCGCTCTCTCTTTCTCACATTCTGTCTTTCGTCATAAGTCTATACATTTATATGTACACATATATATTTATATATATTTATATATATATATATATATATTATACGCCCATGCGCATATATCAGCGCAAAGATGACTTCTGCCCTGCTGCATCCGCATCGCGTCGCGTACGACAGCTGCCGCTGTGAAAGAGCGGAAAAGAGCGTGAAATTCAAGTTGGAAAATGATTAAGTTATTATTATACATCAACACCGACATCGAAGCAACGCGACACATAATTTTGAAGATCAATAAAAGTTTAATAATATTTAGCGACACACCATCGAGAAGAATTGTGTATGCAAATTGACTCGATACGATCTCATCCACGATTCCAATAAAATTCTCGTAAAGGGAATTGGAAAGGTTCACGTCGAAACATACACGATCCGCACGGTGCGACTGCAGCAGATCGAGCTTACCCTACGCGAAACCGCACGCATCACGGCCCCCTCTCGCTTATATGCCCGATATATCTTAATGTTATTAATGCCACAATATATATTCTCCGCACGATTCGAGATCAGCCGGGGCCAACCGGCGAACGCCAGCGCTCGTTCACGAGAAAGAACATGACGTTTCTCTCACATTTAGCAAACCGAATACGCTCTGGGTTTTGGTTTATTTAAAACGAAGGAAATTGAAGATACATATGTACGTGAGCCATCGTATTTGGCGTTAAATGTGCGAGAATACGGAGAATTCGTTCGCCAGCTACCGCCGAGCGTGATCGTCAATGTGGAGTCGTTATCGCGACCTCTCTCGAGTGCTCGTTAATTTCGCACGCTCGCTTCAACTCGTCGATCCGCGGCGTTTCAAGACATTCCGGACGGTCGAATATCATCGCGAATCGCCACGATAGGAAAATCCTAAATCAGCCCGGTCGAATTGAACGGAGCTTCCAGAGTCAGCGGTGTTTTGCGAAACGCTAAAACTGCTAAATAAATGATCGTGGCCATCTTGATTTCAGATGGATTGTTTACACACACGCGATTTGAAAGCAGCGTTTACCGCGTGTCAAACACGCTATTGCGAAAACTCTCTCATGAGGATCGTCGTAGCGACTCCACATCGTCGCCCAGAGTCGCACACGCATTAGTAGTTCAACATTTACACGCTGAATTAAACGTAAGGTGCGCGCACTCATTCCTCGCATCGCGCGCGTATAATGCACGCGTGCACAACATCACGCATTATTCTCGCACGTTCCGAGATATCTCGCTTCACTCTACATTCATCTTCAAATGTTTTTTCCCCTCCTTCCGTTTTATACACACTCGCACATACACACGCGAATGCACACGTACAGGCGTACACGCAAACGTAACCTCGTTCTCTCTCACGCTTTCGGCTAATATATTTATAACAATGTTTTGCGACCAAAAAATAAACTCTATTATGTGTTACACACTAATTAAGCTACGATTATCAATCGATTACGACTATGTTTTATATTTACGAAGGTTTCGTCGACCCCGAAAGAGATATATTGCGTGGGTTTGCTCGGTTTGTTGGCCTGGTGCGGTGACTCTCGTAGGATACTTCGCACGTTTCTTCTATCTTTCGTTCCTTTTTTTTCTATTTCTGAATCCGTTTTCTACTTCCTATCGTTCGTCGGCTTCCGTTGGACGAGATTCGAGCGACCGTTCGCGAAGGAAGGGAAGAGAAGCGAGGAATCGCTGTCGGAGCGATACGATGCGTCTCCTTCGCACACGTGATCCGACCGCACGCACATACACGTGCGGATGCGGCTCCAGCCTCTCCTTCCAATTATTTGCGGATTATCATGGCTCACGCAGAGAACCAATCAGTACGAAGAACTCGAAAATTATGCACTATGTGACAGGTGGAACTAATGAGGAAACTAAGCTACACAGAAGCATGAAAAAGAATAAGAAAGACTGAAGAGATTAATCGCTAAGTTAAAAAATT